GAATCACGCACACGACCGTACCTCCATATCACCCTCAGGTGAATTCGGTGGAAAGGGTCAATCGCGTATTAAGGACATTGATAGTAGTTTTCATAGAGATGGATCACAGGGAATGGGATCTTCATTTGCCGCATTTTCGTTTTACGTACAACACCGCATTCCACTCGTCGTTAGGTACCTCTCCCGCTTTTTTGAATTTCGGGCGCGAGTTGACGCCGTCCAGTTTCTTGCGCGATCAGAGGGATGAAGCTGCTGACGTGGAGGCGCGAGATTCCGCGGAATGGTCACAACGTATGACGAAGTTGCATGCCATTAGGGAGTGGGTGGCGGAAAACCTTGACCAGGCAAATCAAAAACAGGGCGCATGCTACAATTTGCGCAGGCGGCCGCGTAGGTTTCGTGTCGGTGATTTAGTGTTACGACGACAACATGTGTTATCTTCCGCTACACAGGGTGTGGCTGGCAAGTTGGCACCGAAATTCCAGGGACCACTCCGAATAAAACGAGTGATCTCTCTGGCAGTTTACGAGGTGTTACCTCAGCCGGACGGATCACCCGTTGGTAAAGTTTACGTGCAAGATCTTAAGCCCTATCACCCTCCTGCTTACGATGTTTAGAGATACCTGGTTGAGAAAATACCAGGAGATGCTGCCGGGCTTGATGCAACATCTGTTAAGGCAATTTGGAATTCGCCACCAACTGGTGGTCAACTTTATCAATCTAAGAGATCCCGGCTTCTGGACCGATTTGAAGGAGGTGGCGGTGTCTTACAACAATCTCATGTCGGTGGACGGAGGAGAGCGTCGCGTCCGCGAGTTCCCGACGACGATGAATACGGCCACGCAGGCTCAACCGGAAACCGGTACCGCCGCTACTCAGGCGGATGGCCCGGAGCGGCGGGACGCCCAAATACAGATCGGGGAGCCACCGAAGAGGTGGGGCGAGCGACGGGTACTCCTGCCAGAGGCTCGAGATCGACGACAACGGACCTGTTGGAACTGTCAGTCGAGCTTTCATGTATTCATAGACTGCCCTTTCGAGCGGCAAATATTTTGCTACGGTTGCGGGGAGAGGGGGGTCACGTTACTCCGGTGCCGCCGCTGTAGTGCAGCCTATTTGAGAAGGGCGAAGCCTCATATCGTCTCCCAATTACCACGGGATAGGCCAAGGAGCCGTAATAGATCCGCGACGCGATGGAGGGAAAGTCGTAGAGCTTCGTCATCATGTAATGACCCCCAATTACCACGGGGCAGGCCAAGGAGCCGTGATAGATCCGCGACGCGATGGAGGGAAAGTCGTAGAGCCTCGTCACCATGTAACGACCCCCAATTACCACGGGGCAGGCCAAGGAGCCGTGATAGATTCGCGACGCGATGGAGGGAAAGTCGTAGAGCCTCGTCACTATGTAACGACCTTGAGTTGCCACGAGGGAACGAACGGAGGACGCATTCAAGGAGATGGCTGAGGGACAGGGACATGGCCGTCGGTCGGGTCACGCCTGGACTTCCTCGCAAGCGCAATATCAGAGGCCACCGTATGACAGACGACCCTGAGCTCGACCGTCGCAGAGGAATCCGAGAAACCCCAAGGGACGCCCTGACGAAGTACCGGCGTGATCCCGGCGGGCCCAGTCACTGTACTGACTGTACTGTCAAACGGGAAGACGAAAGCACCACCGATAGCCGTTCCGGATCGTCTACCCCGAAGGACATTTTCTTTTAAGGTTACCACGCTGACGTCCCTGCGTGAGTGAGGGTTCGTTCAAGGCGATAGCCCCGGTCTATATTGCATTGTAGGGTACCTTGGATTATCTGGCAATTCTCTGCGGGGACGCCCGCGTTACCTTGAAATCACTCAACCTGTTCCGGAATAAGTAAATAAAGGTTCTAATCGGAGACTTGGAGAGTTCCCGTGCTATTGTGAGCCGCGCGAAGCTCACGCGACGGTTACGCCGCACGGAGATGATTTATCAGTGCTCGCGCATACCGAAGGGGCCGGGGTTGGCCCTGTCCTCTTGTCAGTGAGTCAGTCGAGGCTCACGGTTATTGCTAAAAAGTGTCTTGTGCACCCCGCCGCGTGCTCCGAGTGGTGACCGGAAATTGTCCAAGCTCCGTCGACTATTGTCCTACTCTCTCGCTTCTCCGCGACGCGCTCTGGTCGCTGCAATTCCGGATCGCGACAAGATTTCCGTCGGTCCCGGAGCTCCATCGGGCTCTCTCCCAGAAGATCTCCGATTGCGATTCATGTAGCCGCGAGAAGCCGGAGTCAAGATTTTCCATGTGTTTTCTCGCTCCCCTCCCGAATCAAAGTCTATAAACAACCGTCCGACTCGATTCAACAACGTTCAATAAAGCTCGGTATCAACTCAAAAAGTCTACGGTCACTACTCGCTCTTTGCTCCTCCTCCACTCCTGATTTTCCTGAATCCATTCCGAAACATTTGGTCCTTCGAGTCGGATCGGGATTGAGGTTTTTTTGTTGAATAAAGGAACGGTAGTGATTCGTCGCGTAATTCGAGTGGTTTCATCGTTGTGAGTGGTAATGACTGCCAAGATGTCGTTTTTTGAATAGATGATTTACAAGCAGCGGTCTTTGATCAGTTCCGTGACAAACACCATAGCGAACTTTAAAAAACTAGGACATTTGAAGATGACGTGTGTGGCCGCAAAGGCGCGAATCGAAACGACGAAGGAGAGGTTCGAACAGTGTCGAGGGTTGGACGCCAAACTACGGGTCATCGCCGACGCCAAGACCATGAAGTCGCACCCTTACTTTTCCGACCTTGAATTCGTGGAATGCGAGGATTCCTACGATCGAGCGTTGGACTATCTCTACGAAAAGCTCGACGAGGGCTCCTCATCCCCGGACGCTATTCCAGCCAATATAAGTCAGTCATTCGACTTTCCGTCTCACTCCGCGCTCAACCTGCTGAAGGTCACCCTACCAACTTTCGACGGATTATACGAGAAATGGGAGAGCTTCCGCGATCGTTTTTACTCAATGATGATAGGCGAAACCAGTTTATTAAACGTTCAGCGATTGCATCATTTGTTCTCGTGTCTAAAGGGTGAAGCGAGCGCCGTTATAGAACATTTAGCATTAACTTCCGAGAATTTTGCCGTTGCGTGGCAAATTCTCTCGTTCCGCTGCGAAAATAAACGGCGATTAATTAGTACACACCTTAATAAACTATTTATCTTGCCCACTGTCAACGCGAAATCCGTGTAAAAATTACGCGCGTTACGAGATAAAGTGAATGCCGCGATTGCCGCATTAAGAAAATCTGACGCGTTTGGTTGAACAGTGGAGCGATATTTTCGTGTTTCTTATCATGCAGAAGCTCGATAAATCATCGCGAGAAGCTTGGGAACTCAAACTTGGGCATAGTGTCGACTATCCGACTTATGCTGAACTCGACTCGTTCCTGGATTCCTGCGTCCGCCCTCTCGATTCAATATTGCCGTTCAAAATTAACCATCCTATGTTAGTTGTATTCCTTCAAAAGCAATTAGGCAAAAGCGTCCTACACCAATCTACAAAACGGCAGCTATAGATAAAAAATAAAATTAATATCTCACCTATTTGTTAGTCCTAAATCGCATTTCGTTTAGGAGCTATTAAAAAAAGCGATAATTTTATGGAATTTTTTTCAATACTCTGTGTCTTTAAAACGTGGCTTTTGAGACCATATATTCACATAAACTTTCTTCATAAAATGACTTCAAAAATAAATTCCTAAAATATTGGACAGATTTAAGAACACTCTATATAATATCGAAGATAAAATAAAGAATCTGTAGGAATGTGTTTGCATCTGCGTGGAAATCTCTCCGATTAAGCAGAAAATGAATGAAATGAAAATGGGATAAAAATTCGAGGCGTCGAAGATTCGCGTAGACAAAAATCCGTAACTTCAATACGATACAAATTACGCGATACGTGCCTCGAATACGTGTTTGCTGTGTGTAGGGTCCTTTAAGCGCAATTCGTTTTCGATCTGACAGGATCGTTACCGAGTTAAGGATGATTTGTTGCCGGAATGGCGGTGGCGTGTGTACGAAACAACGACGCGATCTTTCGCAATGGGATAGACGGCGATAAACAATGAATACGTGGCGTGGCGTTTTAATCAAGTCAAAGCAAAGCGGCTGGAATTCATATTAATCGGCGCGCGGGGTCTCAAAGAGCGGACTCTCGTGTATCCGGAATACGTGAGCTCATTTGTCTCGATTGGCAATCTCGCGCGCGATCGATATCAGTCGATATACCTAAAAATCGCTTGCAACCCACGCGTATGATAATGTCGAGGGGTTGAGCGTGATTAATTTATTCGTTTATTTGTCCGCGCGGCGATATAATCATGCGAGATGGACGGGTTTAATAGACATTTTTTAATCATGTTTCGCCTCGTCACGTATCCGAAAGATTGATAATACGTTTCAATTAACTCTCTAATCGTGTATATTAATCTCATGAGATTTATCGATAAAAGTTCATTAGAATATTCAATAATAGGGACTTAAAAGCCTAAAGTAAATATCTAAGAAATATTATGTCAAATAATTATTATTATAAAATCTTCTGATCGTATATTTCTCGGGATAATTCTCGGGATATTATTATAGTGCTCGAATACGTCGAGAATAATATTTAAAGCAATATTATAAAATTGAATGTTTTTCAGGATTCTTGAAGTATTTATCAAGTGTTTTTGAATATATCAAAAATAATATTTGAAACAATAAATTATAGCCTATTACTTCGAATATATTTCTGCGAAAAAAGTGTTCCTCCGATTTAAATATAAAAACTTTGACAACATTAGATTAGACAGGCATGTTTCACTCGCGGGATCGCTATCCCTTGTTATCTGTCCATTTTTTTTTTATCGAGCGACAGTTGTTCATGATCGATAACTGCGCGGACGACTGGCGGATCGCGATGACCTGGCAGAGGATCGCGCAGATCTCGTTGGAGTTGGCGATCTGCGCGATCCACCCAATCCCGGGCGAATACTACTTCCTGTGGACGACCAAGCTGGCGAACAGGAACGGCGACATCGGCTCCAAGTGGGTGCCGTACGACGTCACACTCTCGCTGCCAATGTTCTTCAGGCTTTACCTCATCTGCCGGGTGATGCTACTGCACTCGAAGCTCTTCACGGACGCGTCGTCGCGGAGCATAGGGGCCTTGAATCGCATCAACTTTAACACCAGGTTCGTCCTCAAGACTCTGATGACCATCTGCCCGGGCACGGTGCTGCTGGTTTTCATGGTCTCCCTGTGGATCATCGCTTCGTGGACACTGCGACAGTGCGAGAGGTAAGAGCTCGATCTTGCGACCTTTCTTTTAGGCACAGAAGAGAAGTCACACGCGAGAAACCGATCTGCTCCATGCTTTCAATTTTTAGGATTAACAAAATCTTGTATTACATTCTCAGATAGCACATTCACAAATAGCACCATGTCCCGATTTTGGACTTGCGTGCTGTTGATCCTAGTAATGAATTTATCACCTCCTTTTATTATCAGAGCAATTAATCAAAATCCTTTAATTCTCCACGTCCAACAGCTTTCTAGCTATCGATGTTATCAAGACAATCGCAATTTTTCTTAGTTTGTTCTTCGATGTCTAAGCCCTTCGTCAGAATGACATAATCTTTTCTTTCACTCACACTATATGCGACATAATACAACTGCATGAAGCTGTTAGCAGCGACAGCAGTTGTTCCCGTTTTATTTACACGATCCATTACTCGAAGGCAGGAAGAGCAATTACACACGCATTTCGGAATCATATACAGATCAATGGACGCGACTCATTTGCGTGCGATGATTGATTTACGACCTAATAGCGCGTCCATCCGTCGCGCTATCATGCGATAATAATAAATCTCAGGGCGTCCTTCCGCCGGTGCAGCGAGGTGGAATCCTCGATTGGGGTCGCCGGCTAACGATCGCGATTTAACGGAGAGACCGGCTGATAATTAAATTCTTCCCGTAAATAGCCGATTTCAGGAGTGATCAATCTCCGCCCGGGTGATGCTAACGCGCCTACCAAGAATCTCTACGACCAGGTAGCTCGAATAAGGAAAGGAATCCTTCTTCCCGCTGTCTTTCCGAAAGCTACTCAGTTCGAAGTCTCCTTCTCACGTCCTTAACTGAAATATTTATCACTCGGCGAAATGTGTGTCGACGTGTTTATCGGCTGGCTCTGCTGGCATCTGCTGCGAGAGTCCTCGATGCAGAACGCGAGCGATTTTAAACCGCGGCAATGGCGGCCGGCTGTTTCAATTGTTGCCCGTAGGGCAATCGTTGAAAACAGGGCTCTCGAATTTGATTTATCGCGCTTCACCTTCGGTCGATAGTCGATTATGATAATACGTCCGATAATAGTAGGAACATTTGGCTTTCCGACACATTTCCGACGTACGCAGGATGAATACGCGAATATCCCTGAATATCGCGATGTCTCGCGGGAAATTCCGCTTAACAAATGGAACGGTGTTTACGAAAGGAATTTCAATTTTCATTCAATGTTTATCCTGGTAATTTTGTTATATTTAATTTTATTATGTAAATATTGAGCGCACGTGGAATAGCGATATACGAATTTATCAACGATGGAATTTTTCCGATAAGCGGAAATATACATGTAATTTTTAAAATGTCTACTTTGCCAGGATTTTATTGGCGATATTTAACAAATGTGTTTAACCATTACGAGTTATGATTCTATACAAATAATAAATTGCGTACCGTCATAAGACGTCATTAGCAATTTCCATTACTGTCAAATTTATCATACATTATGTAAAATAATCTAGTATAGTAGTTATATATAAAATTTATTTAAATCAATATTGTTTTAACGACTTAATAAAGTTTAATGTCATTATTTGCATAACGTAGTTATAAATTTATGCTTGACGAATCATTGTTATCAGCTGCCGCCGCTGTTAATTTTATCCTAAGCTGCGTAAAATGTTTATTTATCGAATATAAATAAACATCTCCAAATTCACTTTACAAAATGAATAATTAGGTGTAATAACGCTGTGCGGGTATTCAACTAACGCGCGCGGTTCGAGATTATCGAGTTTTGCGGTCGTGTATTTGCATCTGCATTCAAAATTAAAAAATCAATTTGATAATTTTACTCTCGTATCAGCGTAAACACCGCCGCGCGCGATGGGCCCCGCGGCCAGTTTTACGGCTTGGATTATAGGACCACGGAAATTGTCGCGAAATACGAACGATATTTTATTCAGTGTGTGTCTACACGTGGCCGTGCGAATTTCCACGACAATAACGCGATTTTCACGGTACGCAGCCGACAATCAGTCATGCAATCAGCGTTGCTACGCGAATAATTCGTTTCATGGTGCTTCTATGGAGTGGACCGTTCGCTACGTCAAGCGCGAGTCATCAATTTTATCGGATCCAGGTAGGGCTGGGAAGAATGCGAGAAGGTCACGTTCGTTACACCGGTTAATCTCATCGAAAAAGATCCCTTTTTTTTATCGCTGATTTTCGTTATGCTAGTAAAATGTTATCGCCGTTATCATCAAAAGATTTATTAAATTAACTCAGACTCTTTCTCTCCTATTTTTGCATTCCTTTTTACATCGGGAAAGAAAAGAAATACGCGGGGAACAAAATTAAATATTAGGAGACACGCGTGATTCGTATTTTGTATCGTCTTCACAGAATTTTTCACGATTACGATTCGTTGCCGAGCGAAACGGATCGGCTCGTTATAGATATCGAAGGCCGGAACTCTCGATATCTCGATGAACCCTAAAAGATGGTTTCGCCATCCGCACGAAGGCGAAACCGTGTAACATTGGCCGTGTAACGGGGCCGTTAAAGCCGCTTTACGACGTGGATTACAGCCGCGCATGTCGCCCGCATTGTTGCCCCAATCCTCTTTACGCCCGATAATGAATCTCGCGGGGCCGGGGGGCATAATGTTATCTTCCACCCTGCATTACTCGCCCGTAGCCACCCCGGCGAGAGTTTGCTCAGCCCTCGGGGTGAGGATCAAACGCCGGTTACGGCAAAACGGATGTATCGAGCCGCCAATAAAAAGAGGGGCCAAGAAATTCGATTATCCACGCGGTAATGTCTTTCTAATATCAAGGACATTGAAATAGAGACTCTGAGATAGCTTTTCCCATAATTTAATATAAAGCGCGTTTACGTAATGAAAGAAATTATTACACGGTGTTCGCGGAATCTCATTACTCTTGATACCTACCCTCGGACTTAAAAGGAATTCGAAAAGAAGAGATTATCTGTTTCTACAGAATATAGGGTCTTTCACTCCTCTTTGAGAAATCTAAAACCTTGAAATTCCGAGTATCTTAAAGCTCGAAATCTCGCGGGCATAAAAGAGTTTAAGGATCTTCGCGCGAACGTCCCGTCATTAAAGTAATGCATTTGTCGCTTTGCTACCGCAGGTTCCACGATGAGGAACATGCAAATCTCCTCAACGCCATGTGGCTCATCGCCATTACGTTCCTGAGCGTCGGTTTCGGCGACATCGTGCCCAACACATACTGCGGTCGAGGTATAGCCGTCTCCACCGGAATGATGGTAAGGGCAGAACATAAACTGGAACGAAGCTCGCAACAATTTTCACCGTTCTCGCGAGCTCTTCTTGATCGTCTAATATGTCACCCCGCACTGCGACCTAGAGACACGTGATAACGTCTTCCGTCAAGCTTACACGACAGTTTCGCAAGAGAGACGTAACGCGTTGCAGAAAAGATCGGATTTGTCTTGAAAATTTCTGTAGTCGTATTTTTCTTTCATTAAAATTACGTTTTTAAACTATAAGGAAATATTTGGATATGTCGCAGAGATTTTATGTAATTTTTTTGCAAAATAGGAATAGGGAATTCACAAAAAACCAGGAGACTGTACATTGTTAAATTCGTAGTGTTCAATTATATTCAATTATACTTTGAGTCATTTTTAACTTCCTATAATAGGTTGCCACTGCTCCAATCAAATATGTCGTTAATTCAAATAAACCAATGAAGTTAAAATAATACTATTTTGTGTTAAAATAATAAATTTCGACACACATGGTAGTTAAAAATAACAAGATGTCATCTAACTCAAGGTATTGTTTTAAATTTTATTTCTGTAATATTTAACAGTATAAAATAAATAAAAATTATTAATATAAATATAAATACTTACATTTATATTTATAAATATAAATTGATAAAAATTTTAATTCACAATTTCTGAGACAACCTAGGATTTGCAAAATCACCAAGATTGTGTAATTTTTATTCATTCCACAAGGTTTCCACAAGGTTTCCCAAGGATTTTTCAAATCGAATTACACGAAATCCCTGCGACAGAAACAAAGGAAAATATTTGGAAATTTTATACAAATAATAAGACCTCCGAAAATTAGGAGCATCGCATTACACGCGTCATATCACCGATCGCACGCCGGTCGTTAATCCTTATACCGTAGTTACCGCAAACTACGGGGCACAATATACGCGACTGCAACCGAGTCGAGACGCGCGACTCCGCATGCATGTAACATGTAACTCGATGTAACTCGCGCATTAAGCACCCGTAGCTTCATTACCGCCAGACAGGCGTAATGAGCGGGATACGCGCGCGAACGATCGATCGATCGATCTCTCGCTCGTGTGCCGGCCCGTTGCAGATCGCCCGCCCGTGATTTGTGCGTCCGTCGTCGTGTTTCGGTGATTTTGGGTTTACGGTCGTACCCGGTAACCGCTCGGTAATTAAAGGCAGCGCGGGGACGCAATAAACGCCACACGTCCGTTCGCCCTCACTGGGGAATGCCAAAGTTGTTCCTTAAAGTCATCACACTTCCCGTACCCTCCTTCGCGTTCCCTGATAATTCCGTTAGCACTATCGTTTCGAGCTTCGAACGCGGCTGGTTCCGGCGATGTGAACTAATTCCTCGTAAAACTTCCGCTTTCCGAGTACGACAGTTGTTTCCGCAAGTCCAGTCGCGATCACAATTTACAATACGCTTCGAAGCCCGCCTTCCCTGCCTTTGTGAGACTTCCTCTCTCTCTCTCTCTCTCTCTCTCTCTCTCTCTCTCTCTCTCTCTTTCTTTCTTTCTCTCTCTCTTTCTCTCTCTTTCTCTCACGTTAATGCTCTCGATTGCTCTAAATTGCGCGAAATTATTCTCCACTTGAAGTTTCGGCTATTAATATCCAACAACGAATGAAAAGCAATCTCATCTAGCAACGTCCTTCCCTTGCAACGGATAGAACAGACAGGCTGGCGATTAATGAGACAGATTTTACTTAAAGAAAATCAACTAAATTAATAATGCAATTAATTGTGTAAACTGATAATTAATAATTGTAGTAAAAATTGCTTCATATTATTTGAAATAAATGTATTTCAAATAATATGAAGCAATTTTTTGGCATGCTTTGGTATCTGCAATACATCGAATTGGTCAACTAATATGATTGGAACGATTTGTTCCTATTTATTCCCGTTCTATAGCTTGCAAGGAGGTGTTGTTTTTTGTAGTTATCGGATGTCATCGAAAGCTCTTCCTTACAGCGACGATCGCAATTTCTATCCAGAAAATAAATATACGCATTTATTTACTCACCGTATTTTTTTTTATTTGACTGACAAGTTCAATTGTTTTTTACTTTCGAAATCGAAAGAAAGGACTTTTCAAAGATATTAGAGGACCTGTAAAGGACCGTGAGAAGCTGTCACTGTTACAGGGATGTATCATGAATAAAATAAAATAATTCTCTCTTTTCGTTACATTTGACTTGAGACTAGCTTGAGAGATCGACGAAAGTAGGGAAGAGATTTTTTTCTCGAAAGTCGTAAGGTTTCCCGGAGAGCGGAAGTCTCAGAATCTAAAAATTTCACGTGAAAGGCAGCTCACGAGAGATTTGCATTTTCCTGAAATTTCAGGGCGCCGGGTGCACCGCTCTACTGGTGGCGGTCGTCTCCAGGAAGCTCGAGCTTACGCGAGCGGAGAAGCACGTGCACAACTTTATGATGGACACACAATTAACGAAAAGGGTAAGGCCATTGCCCACGTAATTGTACTGTTTCCGCTCTAGCATTGTAACCTTTGTGTTAATAGCAGCCTTGTGTAACCGTAACCGTATAATACACAGAAAAAAGGGAGTTACGCTGCCACAGCGAAACTCTCGCAACACTTTCGCAACAATATTCTACCTATTAATATATTGTAATACAATAGGAGTCATAATAGGCTTCCTAGTACAGAAATATTTTAATCTGAAATATTAACTGGAAAATATATGTTGAAAAGAAAAACGATTGCAAAAGATTCGCGAGTAATCGGAAAACGTACGTAGAATCCAGAACTAGTCTATACCGGTCTCATATTAGTATATACTAATCTATAATAGTCCATAATAGTCCGTACCACTTTTATATCGACCGATATAGCGAAGAGATATATGCCTGCTGCATGAACTGCATTTCTTCGCATTCGAAACTTTTTCTTTAAACATTCATTTGGCCCTTAAAATATAGCTTAAAGAGCCTTCAGAAAAAAATTGCTTTTAATTGTTTATTTGTTGACGTTATCGCAACGTTTTTGCAAAATTTTTCGTAAAGTTTTGTTAAAATATATTATAATAATAAATAAAGTAATATTAAAATAATATTATAATATAGAGTATTTTCTGATTATTGCTAAATAAATAAGTTTAATTTTAAAACAGTAATTTTAAATATAGGAAATTAAATAGAATTTATGTAAATGGTGGTGAGATAATGTGAGATAATTTTTCCTTTTATTTAAACAAATATACTTGTTTGAACGACGCACAAGATTAAGCTAGAAATTTTACAAATATCCAAGCTATCCAAGTATACTTTTCTGCATTGTAGCAATTAACTATGCAATGTTCTCGCTGTATTATTTATTCCGCGCAAGTTTCTGAATTAAGCAGGGCAACTTTTAATTATATGTATAGCAAATAATAAGTTTCTAAAGTAAGACGACAAGTAGATATGAAAGAAGAAGTTATTCAAATTATCTTGCACGTTGCTCTTAGATGAAACGATATAAGTATCAACGTGTTTTAAATAAAATAGTAGAAGAAATGAAAATTGATGAGTTTCTAATTAACGCATTTATTAACAGAATTCGAGAGATTTTCAATTTACATTTGTTTAAATTTAAATTGCAAAGTTTCTAATGCTTTTGTGTTATTGTTTCGATATTTACAGTGAAAATTCCCTCTAACGATGATAGAGATAATATTTAGCTTTCATTTAGAGACGATATAGAATTTCTTAAACAAAGAATGATAGGCAAGGCATAATTGCAAGGGTGGTTTCGAAATTACACTCGCCAACAGTATCCCGCAAGAATCAGGAAAGCGAATTAAGCACGTAATGAGAGGATGGTGGATATCACTCTTTATATATATATATATATATATAGCGCGACGTAATTTTCCGGCTGAGCCACGTAATAAGAAAGTATCCCACTGCGAGTAAGGTTGCCTCGGAAATAAGCGGACTGCATGAAGTCGCTTTGACCTTTAGGCAGAACGGACTTCCCTTCGTCGCCAATCTGAATTCTTAATTTTGATGTCACAGACTCGCGAATGTGTCGCGATATTAAGAGTCACGGCGGCGGGATGTCAGAATTCAAGAAAGGGAAACGGCGAAAACTTGAATTATGATGAGAATCTGAGAGAACGTGACACGAGAATCCGAGAATCTAAAAGTCCGTAATAATCTCGAAAATCTGAGTATTTAACTAAAAAAAAAAAACTCGAAATATTACGAGAACGACATAAAAATGTGTCATCTTAAGAATCATAAAAATTCTGCGATATACAATTTAAAAACTTATATAGGAAATGTAAATATTCTGAACGTGAAGATTCCAAAATTCTGATTCGAAAACTTAAATTCTCGAACACTTTTTCTCCGTATTAGGCGAATAAGACAAAGCGTCGAAGTTGACAGTGTATTTTCTATCCAGGTAATAGATCGACGTGTGGGATGTAGTCGGCTAATGTGTCATTGTCATTTTAGCCTTTACCTTTATCATCGCGAAAGGAACGTGACGTCGATCGATTTAATCTCAACAGACTTCTAAATAAATAAAAAGGCGACGCGAAGTAGTCGAGAAGCGATAATAAAACGTCTGCAGTGGAAGCAACTCGGGAGTGCTTTCCGAAATCGCGCGGAAAAATTCATTTCCAGAATATCTTATAACACTAATAGGCGCCATAATTCACCGCCGCGTTTCATTGAACCTAAATTGCAAGTTGAAAAGTCGGCCGCTTGCAGTGGGGACCTGAACGGAGAGAATATTAGAAACTCGGAAATATATAAAAACTTGGTGGAGGAGTTTCGAGCGCTTTGGAATATGAGATTTGGAAGTTACGGCCGTAACGACAATCCAATTTTAAAGAGAAATCGATGAGTTCGCAGATCGTTGCTTGCAGGCTCGGGGAAACTCAGAAACTAACTATTTAGAATCCGAAGAAAAATGCAGAAGGCAAAAAGGAGGACGATTCCATCGCTGCTCTTTCCACGTGGAGACCCTTGACAACTCGTTGTGCAAGTTTCCGCAGATCGTGACATAATCGATCGGTCGATGTCAGAAGTGAAGAGTTAATGCCGCAATTTGTAATTCTTTCGCACGCGAAGATAGACTTTATTTAAAAATATTCCGGATTGCGTGCGTTTAATCGTTAAAATAACATATCAAAATAGCGTACACGTTTGAAAATATTTTTTCGTAATATTCCGAGCAACCGCGTGAATTAAACCAAGCTCGAAATATTCTATTCGTTTAGGATTTAGATTGGATCGAGCGTTCCGCCCGCCGGCGCCGTGAGCGCGGTTGCATAAGTACGCGGTCGCTTCTCTCTCTCTCCACCTCCGGATCGAAGCCTTCAACCATACGGCTACTGAAATAATTATTAGCCAGCGTTTATTTATATACCTTGCAAATATCAAGGAGTGGTAACGTAGAGCTATACACGTGACCGTATCGACGAGTCTTTTTATGCCGTTTTAAAAACCCTCGGACGCATATCGCTTTTTTTCACGTCATTGCATAAGCGGAATCGATCTGATTCCATCAGCGCGGCAACAAAACAAACGTCAGTCTTCTCGAAACACTTCTTTTTTTTCTTCTCGGCCGTGCAAGATTTGCGTAACGGGCGTGGATGCACTTTTTTCTCGATGGCATCGTCGCGCGATGTAACGTTCTCGAAAAACGTGTCTTGCAATTTTTCTTTTAATTGACACCCGTATGAGATGGAAATGACAATGTAATTTCAAATGCACATTTCCATCGGGGCATGAATTATTCCCTCATGATCTTGACAGGGATAACAGACCGTGACATTGAATATCATAGTTAACGAGGCGCGCAATTAATGCTATAGCATAATGTTTACCTAGCGAATGTAAGTTTGAATAATTCTGTCTCGAATTGTCAAGGCACACCGTGTACATCCCACGACCGGTATTCTTTTTATCCTATAAATAAAATTATCTAACCCCGAGGACGTAATAAATGATCTCTTCATCGTCTAGGGTAGAAAACCTTGAAAACTTTTCAAAGTGCCTTAAGAGCGACAGGGATATATTTCCGATAAAATATTGATATGATCCCAGGGACCATTAGAACCACCGACACGATGAGCTTAGCGTTAAAAGGGGCTTGATGAGTGACAAACGCCATTTGCTCTGTTGCAGTTGAAGAACGCCGCGGCGAACGTGTTGCGGGAAACGTGGCTGATTTACAAGCACACCCGATTGGTGAAACGCGTCAATCCCGGACGCGTGCGGACCCATCAGCGGAAATTCCTGTTGGCCATATACGCGTAAGTCGATACCAACTCTCCTACGGGCGCTGCGCCGTATTAGATCACCGATAGTTAGGCCAGCCACGTAATCACGCCCTATCTCGCAACTACCTCGAAATTTCAGACTCAGAAAGGTGAAAATGGATCAGCGTAAATTGATGGACAACGCCAACACTATAACGGACATGGCCAAGGTGAGGGCTCGGTGCTAACGAGGGAAACCGCCCGCTCGTAAAGTTTGATGGAATATTGCAGCGGCATACGGAAGGGATTGAAGGGGATTACGTTTCAAAGCTCTGGTGGCTGCTTAGATAGAACGGCTTTCCTCCAAATGAAGCTTTTATCAGTTATTTCCTTTTCTGTTGCAAAAAGAAATTTAATTCTATAAAATCAATAACGTTTTATCATTTATTCGCCGTTATTCACTTATCGTTAGAGGAAAGGTACAGTTTTTCACGATAGTAAAATAATCGGTTTACCGCAAAAGGGGATATTGTCCATCGCGAGTAGATAAGCTTCTTGACCTCTCTAACATATTGACTGGTCCATGTCGACAGACGCAAAACACCGTCTACGAGATCGTCTCGGACATGAGCACGCGGCACGACACGATGGAGGAGCGTCTGGAGGGTCTGCAGAACCATCTGGTCGGCCTAGAGGAGAAGCTGACCTCACTGCAGGGTCAGATGGAGCTGTTGCCCGAGGAGCTGACCCGTTGCCTGGCGCAGCACGCCGAGCGGATGGAGCAGCGGCGTAACTTCCTTCATCCGGATACCGCGGTAGCCATGGCAGCTTCCGGCAGCAGCGGCGGCGGCGGCGGTTGCGGTGGCGGCTGCAGCGGTGGCGGAGGAGCGATCTCGTCGGGCACGAGCCTGGGCGTTTCCGGCGGCGGCAGCATCACATCCGCCGCGCACCACCCTCTCGCCAGCCTCTGCAACTCACCCCTGCTGCCGCACTCGCGCAGCGTCCCCAGCGCGCCTAGCACCACGTCCCTGCATCCGTGGCCGGTCAGCCCGGTCCTACCGCCCGTCTCCAGCCGTACGCCCCACTTGGTGCCGGAAACCGGCAGGCATTACGGCCTCAGTCACTCCGCCACGGTGACCAGCACGACTTCGCAGTCGGCCACCAGGCTCACTTCGCAGGCCGGCATGGGTGGGCTAGGCAACAGCCAAGGCTCGGACACGTCGGCGCACAGCTGAGTCTCGTCTCTGCAGCCGCAGCACTCGTACTAAGGCCCCTCACCGGTTTCGCGCGCGCGATTACACACCGCGTGGCCGTGCCCGGGGAGGGTTGCCGATCGTTTCTGGCACGTCGCCGACAAGACGTATCGCACGATACAATACTGCCAGAGATATATGATCGCGCTACGATCGGCTCTTCGCACAAACGAATGTGAAAACTCTCGTCTGGAGCAGTGTATCCTCGTCCGTGTTAGTCACTTGATAGTCCATCGTAATTGGTCAGTTCGTATCTAATCGCCAGAGATCTAATCAGTTTCGTATTCTAGACGAAGCAATTTCAACTGCGAGCTCGTTTTCGGTTTGAAGATTTGTTTCGAAGGGGGCTACCAATCACGCTATCTAACAGCGGATTTCGCACAGATTTATAAATTAATTCGTATATGTACGAATTTTCTTGGAGTCCCCGCAGCGTAGCTTTCTCGCGATTGGTGATTCTTTTGTAAGTTCCAAAATAAGGCAGTTGAAGCTTCTTGCGTGGAGCGAAAGTTTTGTACGAAAGCCTGTACAGGCTGAAGCAGCACTGTTAAAGTCCGTGATTTGTTTTCTCACGGATCACAACCTGGAAATATAATTGTCGAAGACACACTGCGGCCAAGCGGCAGTTCCGCGATAGCCAGGTCGGTCGGACACGGCCGTCCGTTTCCCGTGCGAAACTCGTTTAACGATGGGCCTTCTTGCGTTCCGCGCGTACCTTCGAGCCCCTCCTCGTCGAAAACTCGGCTAGAGATCCAATTAGGATAGCGCGTCGAGCGATCGTAAGAGGTTTCGGATTCAGAAATTGGAACGTTAATTATTCGTGCTTTTCAATGTAGCTGTAAACTATAAATCACTCGGCATTTATCTTTTTCGCACCAGACTCCTCAATTATCTGGTTTTTCCGGTTTTCCGCGAAGGATCGCGATCCGATCTCTCGACTCTTCCGACCGCCTACTTCTGTCGATCCCTTCCAATTTCCGACCCTTTACTCGCCAATCTTGGCAGGAGCACGCGATCGAGGGTGAGAGGTCGTGAGAGAGAATTGAGGATGATCGGAAAGAGAGAAAGTCCGCGCGATCGATTCGATCGGTCGATCGAACGGAGAGGAAGGAGGGGAAAAACTCTCGGGGTACGCGCGGCTTCTTCCACTGGCTGCGCGCTGCTCCCCTGCCCAACTTGCGTGCCTGAATAACTGTTTTCTTAATAATTAAATGTTAATTCGACACACAGGAACTCCTTGTATCTCTGTATACCTCGTGAAGAGCGCGGACGGGCATAACGTGCATGTACAGGAAGCGCGTATGCGGACAAGGATTGGCCCGAAGGTGACCCAAGCTGGCTCTTAAAGTCCTCGCGTTTAATTAAGGTAAAGCCGTCCCTTTCCCTCTCACCCTTCTGACGACGAAGGTGTTCAAAGGGCTGCCGTTATATTCGTACCTCACGTCATAGAGCTAAACTAAAGCTGAACGATTCTCAGCCCGAGGTAACGTAACGATAATCTTCGCGTAAGGTGATTATCCGTACGCAATGATTTTCATACATTCGGTTTTAAACAATATACGATTTTCATACATTCGGCGCCGTCGGTCTGCGCGACTTATGCGAGGGTTGTTCAATAAGTTCGTATTTTGATTTATATCCGACAGACTTTCGAGCATCTTCTTGTCATCACTTTTCAGTAGTCCCCTTCTACTTCAATGTACTTAGCCCATCGATGCTTCAGTGCCTTGATGCCTTTGGCATAGAAGGCATCACATCCGAAGCAGATTCAAAGCTCAAATCAATCTCTCAATTTCAAGTCTCTCTCTCTCTCTCAATCTTCGTGAATTTGTTGAGAGGACATACTTTTTAGCAACATATATTTTATGACTGTTATTTTATGACTCTAACTTCGGTTTTATTCATTTTTTTATCACGTAGCGCTTATCACACTTACAAAAAAAAAAGAAAAACTTAATCAATTAGGCTGAAATTTTACAAAGTAGATAGAAAGGATATATATTAAATATCACCAGAGTTTCAAGTCCCTATCTCCTGCATATGGGTCAGAGTATGAACAACTCTTGTTTTGAACAACCCTCGTAATTTCTACATTTGAGTGGCTTGAACTCGCGAGCTTCGCGTTAAGCAAGAGCACTCAAATGAGAGAAAACAGAATCGAGTCTAAATTGCCGGACATGTATAATATCGATCGCACCCAATTTGCGAATTGTCTTCGGCTAGGTATTGTCGCGCGCGCGTACACGCGTATACCGGTATACATTCCTTTTCTCTATTACTTTTCCGTTAGAAAACCCATCCCTCCCGGCCTGCCTGCATCGCTAAATTCGACGACGAGTCGACTCGTCATTTGTACAACGGCGCGCCTTCGCGTCCAAGCGTCTTGCGTCTATCCTGTTTCTTAGAACGACGTGCTTTTAAGGGCCGGCGCGAAAACCCGACGGGTGTCCATGCAGGAACCGTATATAGAGAGAGAATGCAAAGTGATCTTATAACCGCTTTAACGTCCGTAGGTTACATAGGATATTATACTGTTAGGTGTATACTTGTACATGGCGCACGGGTACAAAAAAGCGGCTACGTTTCCACTGAGGGGAAGAGGGTGGGTGGGTGGGTGGGAGGGAGGGAGGGAGGGAGTTCAAGATTTTTTATAATGGGACCGCGACCGCGCGGTGGCGACACGGCGCGGCGCGTGGGGGGGGGGTGGGCTTAATTAAATGGATTGACCAGACAATGGGGAAACTAATTATTTGCCAACGACTTCCTGTTCGGAGGTGTTCACCAGGCTTCCTTCGTTCGCCGTTACTAATTGTCGCCGCGTTAAGTACGCCTGCATTAATTTACGATCGCTCATATATGTGGAAAGTAATGTAGATTATGCAGAAACATCACAGCCATTGCTTTTCCTCAGAATTCTCGCTCTTAATAATTCTGCGACACTCTCTCTTCTTCTTTTTTACTATCATCTATTTATTTTTCTTTTTATTTCTCTATCTTTTATTGAAAGCGACCAGCGAAATTCGCTCGAACTCAGACAATACGGATGTCCCAAATCGGGACATATGACGTCCTTGAGACGTCTTAACGATGTCTTTACGCCCGATCTGGGACATTGTGTTAACTGAGAAGTCTCCAACTATTCGGCGAAAACGAAACGTTGAACGAGAAAGCCTGGGAAGGCACCGAAGGTGTCCCGGAGGGCGCCCCGGGAGGGACACGAGCGAAAACCCTGCACGTCACGCAATTCCGGGATCTGAAGAGCTCCGGGATCCTTGAGATCTGGGATTTATCGAGCGACGCGGTTCGGGGTCCCTTCCGGTGCACGACGTACCGTTGCGTTGCTGTAATTCGCAGCGTTTATTCTTTCCGACGCGATATTTTGTCCCGAAGATGTTCAGATCTCGACGTATCGGCACGACAGTGTCATTGTTAGCGCAACCACAGCTGCACGCGACAAACCCGAGATTATATCGGGGCTCTGCGAGGCAGGCTCGAGCGACTCTCTCGTCTCTTCCAAGCATTCAAAATCGTAGAGCGTAGAACGCTGAAAATTTATTTACAATTCTATGCGAGAGAAAAACAATAAATCACTGAGAGTTGGAGCGAGAATTTATTTGTAAAATTGAATTTGTTTCAAAATTGAGTCTTCAAAGATAGAGATAAGTTTTAAAGAGTCATCGAAGAACGTTTATGAGAAGTGATTCAGTGTAATCGAATATTCTGATTTCCACTTCGCCCAGTTTAATTCAAATTTACATTTGCCCTTTAGCTGCTAATTGATGCGACATCAAATTCTCAAATTTAGTTAACGTTAATATTATTATTGTTTATTAATGAATCTTGCGGAAAGGAAAGGAGAAATCTCGGTCGAGCCGCCTTCATCCTCGGCCGTTCACAAGGAAAAGCTCATGCGGAAAAAGCTCACTAACGCGGATAAAGTTGGGACCTGGTTTGTCTTGTCCGTCATCGTTTCATTTCGAAAGCATAGTTTCGCGGCTAATCGCAATGCGAAACGGGACCAAAACAGACATAATTTTCACAACGTTCTCATATTGTCCCCCTCTCTCTTTCTCCTACCTTTTCTTTTTCCCTTCTTTTCCTCTTGCTCTCCTTCGTTTCTCAATCCAACAGATTTTTCATTCAGATAAAAATGGTGAATGAGAACTGAAACATTATAAAAAGTAGCTCGATAATTATAAATACAATTAATTATCTTTTTGTAGATTGAGAATTTCACAGATATAGAAATGATTTCATTATTTGACAATGACAGATATTTTAACTGATAAAAAAAGAATTTATTCAATCGTATTACTTTCTTATTTTTGTATTCTCACGTAAATTATTTCCGAGTAATCTTTTAAGGCCGTTACAAGGCCGTTATTAACGTAACGTAAAAATTCGCAGAAATTCTTCTTTTTCCTGAAAAAGATTCCGTCAAATTTTTCTATTTAATCTCATATCTTTCATCTTGACTTGATTTCGCTAAAGATGAATAATTTCTTTGAAGATACGAATGAAAGACAAAAGATTCATTCGAAAGCTTTCCCGTGTAATTGATAGCTTTTCGTTAAATTTGAAAAATATTTAATATTTAACTTTTTCAATTTTTCGATTTGAACAAGAAGACCATCTGTTTTCACAGAATGTATTTTTAGTTCTCGAAGGGAATATCTTGTCCGCGTGAATACGACAGTCGTTTATTCGACTTCTCTCTATCTGAATGAACTTTTCAATCCGAGTAGTGTCCAACTTTGCTTTCTTCCTTCCATTTACCTCTAATTCTCTTCGGACTATTTCCGCCTCTTCCTCCTTTCTTCATCTCCCTATTGCTTTCCTATCCTCCTGCATCCTTGTTCAAGGAGCATTCCTATTTCGCGCGCGACTCAACGCACTGGACACGACAACACTCCACGATATTTTTATATAGATTTCTTAAAAGTGCATTAAGGTGCCAGGAAGACCACGCCAAGTATAAAAACATAAACATAAAGCAGTCTCAATATTGGATTCTTAGGTGATAGACACCGACTCTACGATATTGTTAGTATACGTAATAACGTGGATATGTAGATGAGAGATTACCGAGCTCTTCGACGTAGTGAAGCTACATAACATCACGACGAAGGTAATGGAAAGGAGAAAAGAATTGCAATTGGAAAAAAAAATGCGCTTATTACAAGCTGCATTTGCAGAGTACATAATGAAAGTTTGATAATAGGTTGATTTCTTAGATATATATGTATCGAGTATTTCGCGAAGTCTGTATCAAATTTTCGTGGATATTAAGAAATCAACTTTTCCTTTAAAATTATCGATATAATTATGACATAATTAAACCTGAAGCCAACTAAAACTAATTATATTCTGAATTTAATTAATTAAAGTATTTTTTGTTTTAATCTAGATTCAATAAAGTATTATCGAGATTATTGTTTTTAATTAAAATTTTAGTGAAATAATGTTCACACATGAGATATATTGATATTTAGTTATATATTTAAATTTCTAAAAT